TTATGCTACACTTCTATGAAGATATTATGTATTGCTTTCTAAATCATGGGCTACAAGCTGTGCACAGAAAACTCTTTACGTTACTTTTGTTCACTTTCAAGGTATTTTAGGAAGTTTTGAGTTTGTATATTACTCATATAATCTCAAACGAAGAATCTATCATTGCACTGATGTCATTTGATCGTTTCTAAGTCAAGCATGATTGATTTGGTCATAGCCCGGCTTGCTGAACAAATGATATTGGCACACAGATTTCTTGCACGATATGAGACGCTTAGACTGTAGTTAAAAGAGCTACCATGTAGCTACGGAAGAATATACACGGACAATCAAACAAGTTCATCGAACGTAATAAAAACGCGTTATGTGTTTTTTGAGTTTTAATCGTGTCAAATACTCTCTTTTTAGTTACGTTGGAATGCCATTCATGGAATCTGAAAGCTCGATTCTTACAACTCACAAAAATCTAATCGAAAACAATATTGTTCGCTTACGTCAATGTTGTTCTAAATGTGAAATGATCAACAAATTATTCATAGATAACAAACCTGTATAGAGCGCTCTCATAACGCTTATAATAAATTAACTTACTTTGGTGATGAATAACATCTAAAATTTGTTTGTTTTGATGCACAACATGGTGAGAGCGTTTTTTATCAGAAATTTTAGGTGGAATTTCAGTACTGTGAATTATTTGATGTACATTTTCACGAGTCAAACGGCTATTCACACAGTCAACGGCTCACGTTCTGTCAAGTAAGAACAGCGCTACTAAAAAATCACAACTAGTGATAGCTGATAATAATTGTTTGTGTCTAGGGGAGGAATTAGGAAAGAGACAAGAAATCACCTAAGTTGGGTGGTTAAGAATTAACCGAAACGTCCCGAAAATTTCAAAATATTATGTCTCAAAGATTAATTTAACATTGTTATTTTGTGTAAGCAATATATTTCCCGTTATTCCGTTTGGAATGTTGAAGGTTTTGTGTCTTTGAATTTGGAACTCCTTTCTACGAATGGTCCGTTCCATCACCAGTCTAACCTTTTACATATATACAATGAGGGGTAATTATAAGAATCAAAGACCTACTGTCGTTTGCTTAACAAGCAATTGGAATTAATCTGCTGAGATAATGAAACGAGGTTCATGTTTCATATCTATAAGCTTAAAAATGTGTACGTGTTTCATTAAGGTAGACTGATAGAAAAACATCTGTCTAGTTTAGTGACATACTCATCATGCAAGAATGATGATTTTATTCCAACTATGTGTTTTCATTACATCAAATCCTATGTAGATACACTCTTTGCTCAACTGTCTCAGATCATTTTTGGATGATCGTTACTGAGTAATCGAAAATAACTCGAAGACATCAGCACCTAAGAGAGAGTGATTAGTGGTTTAAACAAGGGAGCGCGTTAGGGCCTCTTATTCACAAGGTACTAAAGAGATTGTGTAGCTGCTTCAACATGAGGAAGATTTTCTTTCTGCTGGCGAACTAAAGGTAATCTACTCATGCCGCAGATACGATGTAAATAACACCATTAAGTTTATGTAGCAGGAATAATACTGGATGGTAGTATGATATAGAAAGTACCAGCTTTAGTTTGATATTAATGACGCGTCTGAATCCATGTTGGAAGCAGGATATTAGTACTCCATTTTGAAGTGGATGGTTTGACAATATCCGAATCTGATACTATTTTAAACCCTATTTCATGATACTCAAATAACATCAATCAGCTCGTATGTAATCCGTACTTTCGTCAAAATTGGACCCCGCTTAATACTATATAAAGTCTGTGTCATCCAGTGCTTGAACACTGTCCGTTTATGCCTGGCAGCCTCCGTATAAGCAACAAGATGGAGATCTAAGGAATATTCTGTTTGTAACAGTACTATTCCCGAGCTGTTGCACCGCCTGATCTTCCGTACCACTAGGTTGCCCTAGCTCGACTGAAGAAGAAACCAGATTAGTAGTGAATACGTCCTTAATTTTAAGTCCTGGAAAGGGGAGTGAGGTGCGAGACTACCTTTTTAAACACATAAAGCCTTTCATTATCTATTGTGAAAATATGTAATCTCTATACAAAATAAAGAAGTGAATGAATAATTTAGCCTTCTTGTTTAGACATTTACTTGGATGTTTTCAGTCAACTATTAACAAATCTACCTGGGTTGTTACATTAGCTTTCTCCTAGAATAGACTTCTGTAAAAACGTTGGTTTAATCAACTTATCCAACAAGAACACCCCCCGTTCTATTTCTTCAACTTAGAAGAGAATTAATAATTTTCATGCAATAGCGACCAACGCCGTATAAGTATTCGGCAATACTCCATGACAGAAATATACTTGAGTACCTTTTTACCTTATTTCATAGCAATTCATTTGTATGAATTGTCGCTCATGACATTCTGAACATGTCCCATGTGTGAGGATCAGAGCTTTTAAGGGAATGTAGGGTAAGAAAACGAAACAAGAATATTTGAGTGGACTACCCAACAACAAGCTGCTTAGGTGCATCTTTCAAATGCTCTGTCCTGATATCAGGTGTTTACTCACCTACCTCTTGGGTCACCCTCAAGTCAAAAACAAAGAAGGCTCTGTAGAGTTATCGGTCATATATTAGTCATTGTTACGATGCAATGAGTTGGTGTAGACAATGACGTGACTTCTACATAAGATCTTATAGATCAGGCAGTTACATCATAACAAATCTGCAATTTTAGGGTTAAGTCTATTATTAAAGTAATACTAATATCGAAGTAGACCATAATTCTACAAGTCTTCTTCGAAGAAGAAAATATTTAAAGTCAATCAAACCTTAGGAATTGATCCACTATTTGTATAAAATAGTCAGGTACAAAATAGAAGGGTACAAATACAAGTGATAAGGGTTCTTTTCTCCATAAGTCTTTGGTTTTCATAACGAATTGGCAATCTTGAAAGAAATAGACACAGTGTAGACATCTTGTGAGCGAAAACGCATTAAAACAGAAATTTCCTTTTCCAAAATATGTGTGTAAATGTGTGAACCCATCAGAAGTTGAATTTACTACCGAACTTGGTCAAATATATGACTTGAGTCTGTGACAACCGCCTTCTATGATCGGTTCGTAACAAGGAATACAGCACTGTTTTCTGACAAAGAAAGCTAGAACACATGAATAAGAGAAAATATAAATACAGAGTCCAAATATCGGGTAGGCTTCTAAGTGTCAGCGACAAAACTGGAGCCTTACAGATCACCAATTGATTGGCTTGATGTAAATATGCATGTTATGGTAAGGATATATTCTATAAATTCACCTAGTGATCGAGTCGGTTTGTACCTTAGAAGTGTGCAAGTTCCACTAGTCATGACTATCGTTAATAGTAGACCGATGTAAGGGAATATTGCAGTCTATTCCACTACGGTCCGGTGAGGTCTATTGGTCATATGAGGGGTCAGTGCTTCTGTTCACAAAACCCTTATCCATAACTCGCTGGCTGCAAGTTTTCCGGACATAATAAGTAAATGCAAGGATGCATTTTTGCACCAAATTATCCTAACAAGTTGCACCGGGACGCATAGTGTTGGCCGGTAGCTGGCCGCTTAAAGCATGAACAGCCCAGATATTTTCTGTTTGTAATGATGATAAACAGCACAGCAAGGCTCCGCTTCAGGCCTTCTAAGTTTGAGACTATTTATATGATTACCTTCTTAATGTCAAGCTTCAGCTGCTGATCTACACTGAAGGCTTCAAAATTGACGAATAATCGACAGAGGCGATGTTTGTGCACTTATGGCTGACCGAAAAGTTCTGGTATGCTGGTTTAAACTATGGTTAATGTTTATGAACGAAACCGAATAATTCTGCATACGCACTGAAGAAACATACGTCAGTGACGTTATCATAGGAGACGATACAAAGCATTTAGTGCTATCGTAGAATGATCTGGAGATAATGGTCTTAATAAACAAAGGTCACTGTCATTGAACTGTAATCGAAAGTTTTAAAAATATATAGAAGTTAGGGAGAGCATTCACTTGTTTATAGATGGACATATCACGCTAATAAGGTTCAGTTAGAAAATGGAATGTCAGTCAGGATGCCAATTTTCGAAAAATAGACTCAATTCTCTATGAAATGTGCGGTGGACAAGTGCTGAAAGAATTCTCGTGATACGTCTCTTACTATTTACATAACGACTTGAAAAGCTGGACCTTTATGACTTATGTAAGCTCAGAAATCGGAGTAATTTAATTTCTGTGTGTAAAACAAGAAAAAATGACTTTGAATTTGGTGAAACCTCTCTCTTTTAGCTTGGTCAGAACAAACCAGATGATATATCTGGATGGTTCAAATGTTAAGAGAGATGAGTAACCATAGAATGCAGGTTTCCTCATCAAGAATTCAGCTTCTGGGCCTTACTATTAGAAGACTAGGACTTTTGTTATCGTTAACTAATCAAAGAAGATGGATACGTGATGGAATTGAAATACATATACTGCTTACTATTTCTTCTGTCCTTCAACTACGACAGTGTTTACTAGATGAACACTACATACATTCATTTAGCACACAAGTAAAGCGAAACAAATGAGAACTGAAGATGCAGCAGTACACTTTTTGAAGTATCTGTGTATAAATATTGCCAATGTATAAAATACGGAGATGTAAGAGGATAGGCAACTAACAGAATATGAGTACACAGACAAACACTCACCAAGAAGTCACAAATCGTTCAAGGTCAGCAGACAACGATATTCAAGACCAGAAATATGGGTGATAGCATAACTGCAAGGATTAGGATAATATACTCAGGCGTTATAAGATGTCGTCGAAGGTCATTAAATGGACCACATATCAAGTCAATTAATTCGGTAGAAAACAAGACATTTGCACAAACTTTCCGAAAAAGAAATAACACAAGTAATCGAGTTTTTTGCGGATAATTGAGATGTACGGGAGTTGAATCTGGATTTTCCCGTTCATTATTGAGGTTCAGTGTTTGAGCGCCAAATTCTACTGCAAGGTTGTGGAGGCTTTTTGACTTAGTATCCCGAGGTAGATGCCATTTTCTTCTTTCACGTGCAATAAAATTATAAAATGATCTAAGTATGTGATATCAATTTAATAAATATATAGCACAGTCCCATTTGTCTGATTGTTAGCGTTAGGGAACTGCGAAAAATCACGTGGTTAAGTTGGTTAATCGGACTCAATCAGTGTTATATACGGGTCTTGACTTATCGTTATTTGTCCAGCCATTTTATGCAAGTTCAAAGTAGTCCTTATTATGCCTTTTCCACCACTTACATAAAAACGTTTGACCCGAACCTTTACATTGCTCTTCACGAGACAACTAACAACGATTCGTACATGCAAGAGCTAATGTCCAAGTAACGTCTCACATTCTTTACTACTTGTCAGCCAACGCGACTATATCCCTCATTGTACAGCTTCAAATGGTGGCTCGTAAACTTTTTTCAAACCCATAGCTTGCCGTCCTTCACCTGGACAGCTATACCTGACGCGTATTATACCTTATCATTACTATATCATAGTCATTATCATTGGTTAACATATGGTCACCTCATCTCATATCAGCTTCATTTATCCGTTATCCTCAGACTTCTGCCTGTTCACATTGTTTGCGTGAACTTATCCTAATCGTTGTCTTCTCTTCTACATAATCTGATCTTAAAGTTTTTCGTGTTGCAATTACATAATTTATTGTCCGGTGATATAATAGCTGCTGGTCGTAGCAACTCTACTGGCTTAGAACAAACGCACTTATATATACATACGAAAAATTAGCAATCATATTCGCTAGGATTAGTTCAATCGAGTGGGTAGAATTATTTATTTATTTGGACACATGAATATTGGTACAAGAGAGCGCCAATATATATGCGCCACACAAAACAATGAAAATTCGAGAGGAATACAAAGAAAGAAAAAAAAGCTAAGGAGCGTAACAAAAAAAGAGAACAACAACGAAGAGATTGGTGTAACGTAATGTGCTAGTAATCAGGGAACGCAAAGGTACAATCGGAAGAAATCTTTCAGGTAAGGGAGACAGAACCACTTTTTATGAAGAAAGTAAAAGAAGGTTACAGCAGGATCGCCACTGGCTTCTATTCTGAGCCATATCTGATAACGTCTCTAGCCACTGTGTAGCACCATCTCTCAGACCCCAACCAGGGAGTCGTGAAGGACCGACAGAAGCCAGTCCTTTGCAGCTTTCTTTCATGCCACGACACTATGTCATACACTGACCACCTCTCCGCTTCTTCCAACCAGTCCCAGAGTCGGCAAATAATGCACGACGTGGAATTCTCTGGGACGACATTCGGAGAACATGTCCAAGACATCGAAGTCGGTGTTTCAAGATGATGACACCAATTGCATTATCATCTCTGTGCCCGAACACACGATGCCGAGAGTGGGTAGAATACACACATAGAACTGTGACAAATAATTGGGATTGTACTGTAACATTGAGGAGTTGACCCAAATATGTCTGTTGATCTTCACAAGCTCATCTCAAAGTATTTGTTTCTATATCTCTGTCAATTTACGCTTATTAGTCGTCCATTGTAAGTTTTTCATATGCACTTTTTAAACTCATTCGCTTCTGTAAGACAGCCACATGACTATATATGACCACATCTTTCTTAAATGAACCTAAGAATAATGTTGAATACCTAACCAACACCCACTCATAACTTGAAACTGATTTCCGAATTAGTGGTTGTTTGGGCCAAATTATTTTACTAAGTTATAGATACTCAGAGTTCTTGTTTGGTAGGATTTGGGATTCGTTTTTAAAGAGGGGATTTTTCTACCGTAGCAAGATACTATATACAACCTTTTGATATCGGCAGCTTTAGGATTTTAAAGTTGATAAATTGGGTATTTACTAGCTAATTGAACCTTACCCACCGCTGATGTAAATGGTATAGGTTTAAACTATCTAGCGTTATTTTCATGATCTGCGATAGTTCGTGACTTTGGATCTTTAATTTATATAAGAATCCATTCAATACTAAATAGTGGTAAATACGTGTATCCGACAGCAAGTACGTGGGTGATTCGGAGTCATGTCATCAAAACTTAACCACTGATCACAGTCATCACATGAGTCTCAAACAGGTAATCTGCATTTATCAAAACGGCTCAGATTAAAGGCTTCTGTAAGTACTGAGGACTCCGGTGTTCATAACATCCTTATGGGTTGAAAGTCTTCTTCATCTAACAGCTGCTGGAAGTTTTTTTTAACTTACCTGGACCATTCTTACTAAGATGCCTTATGGTTGAAAAACTGCGGTCGTTGGCACGACAAACAGTCATCATATAGTTACTGAATGCTAAACACAAAACTTAGGATATTAGTTTAAATAGGTGATTACTACAGAGATTTTAACCATCTTTCTACGTTACCTAGCTGCTGAATATCAATTCAAATAAGCGGATGTCCAGAAGAAACTACTGGTAAGAAGCTATAGGTCTCTGTATTTGAAAGACCCACAAACGACTGCAAAAGAATGTATGGTAGTGTTCTTAGGAAGCTCACTGTATTGTGTAAGGAGGCGCGGTAGGCTTCAAGTGTTTAAACCTCTTACAGATCCCTACATGGTGTATGGAGTAATTATCAGGGCATAAGTCTATTTATTACCAGTTGCATTTAGAATGCTGGCTACGGTAATATTCAGTAAATTGTGTAAAACTCGTACATATCATAAGCGATCGGTGGTCCGGCTAGTTTTCTTATCTTGGATGTGTTCATCATGTTTCGTTGCTTTTAGGTGACCTGACACTGCCATACATTAGGTTTGCCTTCAGCCGGTTGGACAGGAATGTAGTCTGGAATTATTTATTAAAGCTGTGTTAGTGATCTTTATTCAGGCGCACTTCAGTAGCTTAAAAGCATACAACCACCTCTTTGCACTGTCATAAACTGACGTTAGTTAAAGCCATAACATATATAGGTACTTTTACTTATTGTTAATTAAACATTTCCATTTTCTATTCACTTTATCTAGTTACAGATCACCAATTTGATTGATAATACATTTGGATATATTTAATAATCACATTAATATGCTCACCTAAAACTGATAAATTGTTTTATACATATAATATTATGCTTCATGTTTACGATACGAACAATGATGACAACAGTGGTCATCCTAAACCTTCAAGAAAAAATCAGCTGAATTGTCATGGCATTTTTGTAACCAGTGAAGATTTAAATAATTCACGTAAGCTTCCTTTTTATATTTGTTAAATATTGGATTCTAGTAGATAATTCAGACGTTTTTGAATATCTAGTCATTATTAGTCGAAAAATCAGAGGGTTTTTATGATATGACTCGGAATCAACCAGCTATGTAGATCCGTATACCATTTTGCAAAATAATAGCACCTTGGCTTAGACGTTGTCATAAACTTCTCACACTTTGCTATTACGCTAGTCAAAGTTACGCAGCGAGATAATGAAGTCATCATGTACTGCTGTTGTTATAGCTGATCCAGTTAATATTTGTCTGAAGTGTATTCAGAGACTTGGATGTTTTCGTATCAAGGTCACTGCTTAACCTCATCACTAATTACTTGATAACTAATGCTGGTAAGAGATCCTAGTGATTGTATTCGTGATCTAATATATATAGCCTTGCTTCATTTCCCTTCAAGTGTATTATCTTACAAGTTCCCAGAAAATACACTTTTGTTCTGAATTGCACATTTCAGTCGGAGGTGTCATATATACGAAAAGTATTGATAGCTAAAATACACTTTAGATTTACATTAGTGAGCCGTTGCTTCAGGACTGGCCTGCGTCAACATCTGAACTAAGGATAGGGAGTAAAGTAGTCTAACGCGTCGACAACTTCACTTATCTTGGAAGTCTAATCAGCCATAATGGGTTGGTACCTGACGAAATCTCAGCACGGATTCGAAAAGCTCGTTTGGCTTTTGCCAACTTACGTCACCTATAGTGAAGGCGAGATATTTGTCTACCAATAAAGGGACGACTATACTGCGCAGCAGTTCGTTCTGTTCTACTTTACGTCTGCGAAACCTGGCCATTAACAGTAGAAGATAGTCGTAAGCTATTAGTATTTCATCACAAATGTCTTAGAAATATTGCCAATGTCTTCTGGGATCACTGGGTAAGTATATGTGAGGTCAGATGCAGGGCATTAGAGAATGACGGTAAATAAGTTGCGGTTGCAAATCTTCACCGATTGAGATGGCTGGGCCATGTGTTACGTATGCCTGAACACCGATTACCACGACGTGCAATGCTGAATAGTGTTGGAAATGGTTGGAAGAAAGCTAGGGGCGGCTAAACCAAAACGTGGCATCAGTCCATAAAGTAACTGACTTCTAGTTTGAGCTGCTGCTTCCAGCTCATTAGCACGCCCCGACCACCAGGTTTCTCGGTCCTTACGCAAGCTTTGCTCAATTTCATTACTTAACAGTCGTCGTTTGTGGTCAAACTCAGGGTTACCCGGAGTAGATCGGCGGGCTTCAATGAGTTGTAAGGAACCAGAAGAAACCTAGTGCTTATAAGCGGGACGTTTCGCGAAGCCGCAAGCGGCTTTACTCGCCATTTTGATGGCGTCTTGAAGTTGCAAACAATGCTCATCTATACTTTTCGGTGGAATGGTAGATAGCCTAGAAGCTAGCTCGGTTCGATACTTAGTTGCAACCAACTTGCTGACATCAGTCCTTTAGTGGCGGTCATTTCGTTGGCCATTGAAAAGTAAGGTAAGATTGGCGCAGAGCAGGGCATTATCAGAGTCTAGATAGGTACTCCAAAAGGAGCGGCAGTCTTGTACACAACCATACCAGCGGTAGCTGATCGCGATGTGATCAATCTGAGTCCAGGCTTGAGATGCAGAGGGAGGACGCCAGGTGGCATATCAGCGATGACTGTGCCGAGAGTTAGTGCTAGCCAGAAACAGCTCGTGGTCTGTGCACAGTTGCAGTAGGCGGTTTCCGTCATCTGTCCTGCGACCAACAAGTCCCCATTGAACACCTAAACGACTCTCTTCTGTGCCTAGACGCCCGACCTGAGCATTCAAGTCTCCGGCTAGTACTACAATATCTGTCGAACGCACTTTCTGGAGAAGAACTGATAACTGGTGGTAAAACTCATCCTTGATTGCATCCGGGCTGCAATCTGTCGGGGCATAGGCGGAGATGACGAAAAGACATCGTTTCTCACGCCGATTTCTCACTTTGATGGAACTTTCTAATCTAACAGCACATAACTGACTGTTAATGGGGATCCAATCGACTAGTGCTGCCTCAGCTCTAGCGCTTAGTGCGACACCAACGCCAGCGAGACCAGACGAAGATGCCACAGGGTCCCCGGATAAGCGCACGTAAAACAAGCTTTTCGAAGCGACAGATGAAGAGCGAATTTGTAGTACTTCACCAGTCTTGAATATGGGTATCGAATAGACATCAAACGTCGATATTAAGACTTTCCAAAGACATAGCCAGCCCTATCTGTTGTCCGACCTGCATAAATGTGCGAACGTTGAAGGCAGCCAGTTTGAATGATGCACGTGGTTTCAGAAAATCTGCTTCAGTCCTCGTATTCGGTGGTAACATACAATTTTCAACCGGACAGTGACTCGAGAACGTTTAGATACAGTCGGATTTCCACCAAAGACGAGCCGCTGTAGAAGTCGAAAAATAAGGATACATAAAGTGGGAATAAAAGAGAGTGAATAAATGACGTAGTAAATAATAATAATAATAATAATAATAATAATAATAATAATAATAATAATAATAATGTGAATTGTTTGACTGTAAATCGAAGGGAGAATAGAGTTTTCAGTAAATACCACCATTTTCATTATCATTATATTTGTGTATGGGCTGTGATACTGCCCGGGTGCCCATACCGAAGCAGGTAGTTTTCTCATGGGGCTACACCGAGCTGTTGTTGTAACTTTGACCGATGCATATATGTACCTGACCCTACGTTGTAGCTGACTGACTGGCTAACGTTAGTGAGCTCTACCTACACCTTCACTGACTACAGCTCTAATGACGAAAACTTTGACTTTCATAAGAAACTTTCTGACCAAAAGTTAAATAATCAGATGTAATAATAGCAGTAGGCGATTTCAATATACAAGTGGGTAAGTTAATCTAAACCGAAAACACTTATTCGGGTCTTACGATGTTTTACCCAGCGAACATAACGGCTTCTGTCTGATACAGCTGTTCTCAGGCAATAATTCATATCTAGTAATCACCAACTTTAGACATAAATAGACTTTTTTAAATAGCAATTCCTGAAATCGATTCAATGATGGATGCAACTAGACCATATCACCATAACCTATCGATGGAAGACTTCGATTCGTTCTGCAACACACGTCTCAGTCAGTCACAACGTAGAACCTGTACGTATGTACATCAGTTCAACTTGCCAAAACCCCTTTAGCACACCGAAATAAAGTTGTCAGGCCAAATCTCAGAATAGTAGAGGCAGTAACAATATCAGTGGTAATAAGGAAGATTGGGCATCGAAGGTACAACTGGAAAAGGAAATGTAAATTAGCAAAATAAAAACAAATGTTATGAGGAGTTTGTAATCTCAGGATTTGGGGGAAGACGAAGAATGATAAACCTGCGCCATTGCAAACGACTTTGAACAATGTCATTCAAAGTCTCTAACCATAGGTTACGATGATCACGCGGCTCCAAACCAGGCAGTCTGCACTCATTGACATGGCTAAGTCCAATTATCAGTGACTTCATGGACTGATGCCATGTTTTGGTTTGATCACCACTGGCTTCCAGCTTACTACTACACCATACAGCATCGCCCGTCGAGGTATGCCGTAGTTGAGCATATATAACATATCCCAACCACCTCAGTTGATGAAGATTTGCTATTTCATCAGTCGATTTACCATATTTGGCTGGTACTATATTCCTAACCCAGGCACTGCTTAATCTGTGGGCCAAAAGCACACAAGCAATGCTTCGAAGACACCTATGATTGAATACCAGCAATCTACAAATATCCTCTGTTCTTAATGTCCGTTTCACACCCATAAAGTAGAACGTTGATTCCTGCTGAGCAGTAAACTAGTCATTTGGTTGGCAAATGGATATCTCACCTACACCACAAGTGACACAAGTGGGTGGAGGCCAATCAAACCTGCTGAATCCATGCCGATATTTTGTTAGACACTAGACCATCTGTACTGATGAAACGCCTAAGATAAATGAAGAGATCAGTGCGTTCAATTACTTCACTCTCTACCATTATTTCAAGCGGTGACCCAAACCAATGCTGAAATAAAATTTTACACTTAGAGGGAGAGAACCGCATCCCAAACATGTTTGCATTGTTGCTTACAGTGATCAGAAGACTGCATTTGTCCTACTCATTGCCTTCTCGTGGCGGGGGTGTTGTTTACGAAAATGAGAGGACGAAAAGCGAATGTCTGGCGCTTTAACCGGATTCCAAATCAATGGTGCACATGGGCTCCAGTATCCTGCGGGAACAAATGGCGTATGAACCAATCATTGGTCACCGGCTACCATGGGACTGCATCTCCTTACGATGCTCCACTGCCTTGTGGGTTAGACCTTTAGGTCAAAGGCTCGGGGAGTGGCCCCCTAAGATAACCATCTGCTTCGGTTTGGGCACCCGGGCAGTATCACAGCCCACACACAAATGATGAAATGTTTATGTCTATGGAAATTACTTTTGTCGCTTTGAAAAACAATCAATCGATTCAAATTATGATCACTACAATTATTGTCATTATTAATACTAATATTATTATTACTACTATTATTGTCATTATTGTTATTATCATCATTATTATTATTATTTTCCACATTATTCACCTTCTTTTATACTTATACAGCGGCTCGTCTTTGGTGGAAATCCGATTGTATCTAAACGTTCTCGAGTCACTGTCCGGTTGAAAATTGTATGTTACCACCGAATACGAGGACTGAAGCAGATTTTCTGAAACCACGTGCATCATTCAAACTGGCTGCCTTCAACGTTCGCACATTTATGCAGGTCGGACAACAGATAGGGCTGGCTATGTCTTTGGAAAGTCTTAATATCGACGTGTGTTGTCTATCCGAGACCCGTATTCAAGACTCTGGCGAAGTACTACAAATTCGATCTCCATCTGTCGCTTCGAAAAGCTTGTTTTACGTGCGCTTATCCGGGGACCCTGTGGCATCTTCGTCTGGTCTTGCT